TGCTTAATATAAATTAAATAGGTAACTGTTGATATCGAACCCAGTTTGTTGATTCAATGAGTCTGAGTGGAGTAAACAGCTGAAGGCTGAAGTGCTAAAAATTCGCAGAGGTACACAGCAAATTCACAAAAAAATGTGTGCTACAGATACTGTAAATTTATTGGAAGCGAGGATATCGTTCAGAACCTTCTTCGTGAATGCAATGAGTTTCTTTATATAGAAGAAAGATAGTCCCTATCAGGACAAAACAACAAACTTATCCTGACAAGATCTAATAAGCCGTTTTTAAATTATGAGCGAAAGCGAGTTGTTATTCAACCTTTCTACCTTTGAATCTTGCTAAAATTAGTAACTTTTTTGTTTTTTCGAAATGGACGGTCCACATTAATACTCGTTTTTATGCGGCTTCTGAAAATTTCAAACAAAGGTTTCATGAGGCAAATCGCCAATGACATTTAGATTTGAGAGATTGAAAACATCATCAGAAGAGCTCAAAAAACCATTTTTGGCACCTATCGGTTTTTATGCAGAAATCAATAATAGTTTTAAAGAAAAAAATGATTCCTGCTAGTCATAACTTGAACGGTTAGTCTTGTTGAGACTTTTTTTTGGGTTTTTTGTGATTGAAACTTTTTAGCCGTTTTGAACTCCTGCATTGGGAGGCCTTTCGGTTTGTTGTCGGTCGCTAAAATTTAGTTCCGTCAAAACTGTTTAGGCGTACCGTATCTAAGCGACATTGTACTGTGCTTATATATATTCATATATCTCAACTGATTACTGCTACTACTAGAAAATTAGCTGCGAATTAAAAAATGTATATTTTGAAAATTATTCGTTAGTGGTTTAGGTCTAGAATTGGGGTACTGATGCAATAGAATGGCGATTACTGGTGATTATTTTAAATAAATAAGACCGCTAGGAATAGTACTTCTAAAGCATGCGAAAAAACTTGACTAAAACATTTGCGTTTATATAGGCGTTTATATTTTGTTAAAAAAAAAAAAAAAAAGAGAGAGAACTTAAGAAAAGTCCGGATTTAGGTGTCCTACTTTGTATGCTTTCAATACTTTTTCTCCTTTAATAATTCTTTTATTGGCAAAGAACTTCTTTATGGCTAACTATGCCCTATACGAAGCCCATGTCAAGTATGAAATGAAAATGTAAAACCACGCTACCTATATATCTAATGATCTTTCTGCAAACGTTAGTTTGGTTTGTTTTTAATAACATCATAGTGGCTATCGAGATGTTCAACTGTACGAACCGTAAGGTGCGTATAAACACAATTTCATCTCTATCGATTTCAGCCATTGTGTTCCACATCGGTTTCTGCTGTCACAGTTATGGGCTATATCGTGTGACATTTGTAAATGACAGAATATAGTTATTTAGTATAAAATTGTCACGAGAAAAAACTATGACGCATATCTTAGAGACATGATGACGATCATTTACAAAGCAGCGTTTCAAAAATAGCGCAAATTTATCGAACGACGATTTGATGATGATAGCAAATACGATTTGACCCATTGGGGAATGAGGCCCTTTTCTCCTTTAAAAGGCCTAAATTGAACCGTTCTCTTCGGGATAGTACGACTTGATAATCGAAAATGAAGGACATCTATACATTCGACAATTTATAATCTGATACAACTGATCGTTTAATATCGCCGTGACCTAACATTTTTTGCGGCGCAATTATAACGGCATACACTAGCCGGCCATTCGGTCCTAAAAACTGACACGTCTCGGACATCACTGAAAAGCTATAGATCAAGGAGTACAGGTAGACCCCTGCAAATAAGGCTAAAAACCAAAATTACGCAGTCCTTCGCTTGATGCTAAAAATCAAGTCCATATGGAGCCCTGTCGCCGAAAAGAAGCAGTGCCGAATAGCGATATCGACAACTGCCATAAAAAGCACAGCTGAGCATTATCGTCTATTGTATAGGTTTCAGTTCCGACAAGGGTTAAAAAGGACTATTGCACATGTGCCAAGACGGCACCCGAACAGAGCGTAGTCACGTAGCGCAGGTCAGATTGGTGGAATGGTGAAATGTTTAATATGTTTCAACCTAAAATTGTTATATAATTTCAATATTCAAATGTGATCTGCTCTTTTTCCCCCTCAGTTTGAAAAACACGAAGGGTAAAAAGCGTAGTATAATTTGTGGCTCAGCCGACCGCAAAGAGTGATAGCCAGACGACCTGTCGCTTACGACTAGAGACTGCGTTTGATCCTACAAAGCCCGATCCAATGAACTTTTAATAAACGTGCCATTCAACGATAGTAAAAATCGTGATTTTGGTAAAGCACAACCTTCCCTAATGACCGACGACATAATAAACAAATCAAATTACGTTGTAGCCAAATACGGTAAGCTCAAGCCCGGCTCAAGGACGGCTACGCCCTGTGAAATGAGAGCGACAGTCGCTTTTGGCGTACTTCCTCTAAAGTATGTCAGCCCCTAGTGAATGAAAAGGTACCTAGCTAATGAACAGAATGTTGCGTCCTACGCATAAGCGTCACGCATGTTTCGAGGACTAAAAAAGTGCGTCTCTGAATAAAACATACGCCTGTAAACAAACGTAGAAATGAATACAAGCTTTTTTGTCTCTTTTAATTTTATGTGATTATAATGAAATTAACTTTTCCCAAAGGCGGATCATGCACAGTTTGTGCCGCTGCAAAACTAACCCGATCCGGCAAACGAAGTCATTAGCATTTATATTAAAATCTCTTCCACAGCCATCATCAGTTCCTTATCAGCGTTCGTCTACAGCATCCTCTAAACAGACTCAGAGGATATCATTACTTTTCACCAGCAGTTTGTTTTTCTTTTCTAACAGTTTTAATAATTGTCAGTAGTGAACTACTTTGTAAACGACATTCTGATATTTCGACGTACTATTCTGTATCTGAATTTATTTTCTGCTACCAACATTTCAACTGGTCTATATTCCTCTAATGGGCGGTCAGCTGTTCTCCGGAACTATACGCAGAGGGAACGTGTCTATTCGAGCAGTGTCCATAGAAGCTATTTAAATGCCAAATAATACAGCTGTTGTAAGGACATGTACCTACCTACCTACATACCTACCATATCTAATCTGTAGGTGTTGTCCTTGCTATAACTACGTAAAGGTTGCACGAATTCTCTGTCGGCGTCACAATTGATGGTAGCCAGAGAGAAAAAAAACAAACTGATGCAACGATGGATAACGTGGCCGGCTAAACCGTTAGGCTAGTCTATGTAAGCAAACACTTAGTACTGTGAAGGGAGCCGCGTTATTACTAAAGCCAAAACTTTTACGAACAGCGGCGGGCGACGGCGGCTGATCTCATCACTTCTGCCCAATCTAGCTTCGGATTGTTCTTGTTATACAATTAATAGGCCTTAGAGCGGCTGACGCCAGGATATCAACTTGAAACCGCGATCACACTTTGTTAGTTCGGGAACGCAAGAGCACATTCAGACCTTCAGGAAGCTGTGCAGCGGGTATCAGAGCGCTTCTGTATCGGTTCCGGGATCTATTCATCGGTTAGAAGGACGGTAGCCTGGTGCCATCTTTGCTGACGTCTGAAGCTTTGGGTGTAAGGAGAGCTTGTGTACTTTGGCATCTGCTCGCAGTAAGCGGAATTTGAAATTACACAGGCGACTGGTTACGTATCGTCTAGATGCATAGGTATCAAAAGGCAGAGGAAAAGTTCGGTTTGAAATAACAGAATAAGCCCTTGACGACGGTGCATTGACAATGGGGTCCGTAAGGTGGGCGTAGACAAGAAAACCCAAAGTGTATTTTGCGTTTGCCCTCATAGAACGCATCCTAATGAAAGCTTCTAAATACTTATGGTAGTTTCCTAGGGCTTGGCATTAGAAACAACCATATTTGGAACGTATGTCCTACATCGAGAAAAATGTTTCCATTTCGAAAATGTCCGGTAAGTTTTCAGCTCTGGCTGTCACCAGCAGTACCACTGAATCGGCCTCTGGTCGAGCTTTTGAGTATGTACCCTTTTATTAGAAGCATTACAATATAGAAATAAATAGGGCAGCTTGCAGACAGAGCTGACAGCTTTAACCCTATTTACCGTGAGAACAAAGTCTGAACGCTGAAATCATTACAGCGATAAGATAAAGGACTGCCTCACATTATAACATCATAAAAATATTAGATAAACATTACACAAAGCTTTTGGCCTTTCCAACTACTTCGTATTTTATCACAGCAGAAGGCTTATGAGAATATCAGCTGGATTCAAAATAACTATCGCTGCTTATGATTGAATCTTTTGTCAATAAAGTCAACATAATATGTTGGCCTGAAAAGCGTAAAGGCATCACAATTGATTTTGCCTTTTTCACAGTTTTTTCTTTCAAGTTTGAACTCTTACTAAAGAGACTTGCTATGTCGTCCCGAGATGTATAGCGATATAATTCGGATGGACTCTATGCGAAGGTAATACACCAAGAAGGGCGTTTCAATTCAAAGCGTTTTGAACTTACTTTTAATTTACGTTTTCACTGTAACTACATGTGCCGGAAACAACTAAGACTTCGTCAAAAAAACCGTTTCTCTACGATCGCTACTTTGAAGATTCGAAGCTTGATCTTGCGATTTGATGCCATATGAATGTGTCTAGAAGTTCTTGTTTACTATTTCTTTCAACAACGCTGTATAAGTAAAGTTCTTCAAAAAATAGATTAGGCAGATCCAATGTTTTTAAATGATTTTCGTTTGTGAGTTTCACTAAGGGGCAACTCGTTAAACTGTGCTTAAAACAGGCTAGACACCATTTTCTATTAGCAACAGAGAGCACTATGATTATAAAGCTATCCATTTGGCCCATTAAGCTACAAAAGAATTGCGCAGAGGTTATGTTTAATCTGTGTCCTTACTGAAATAGCTATTTAATCTCGTCGACCGACCGCTTTACGTAAAACAAACACAAACACTATTACCTGTAGATTGATCATTTTTTTTCTGTACTGTTTCAGGTCCTCGGGCGTATCGTCGCTGCAGCTATAGCGGTCACTGGGCCGATAATATAACCAATTACAATGCCTGTATCGCAGTCATTAATATGGTGGTCGGTATCTGCTTCGAACTGCATCGTTTCTAGTGTTAAGCAGCCTGTTGGAAAAGACAAATACTCAATTGCTTACACACGATATTATTAAACCTTATTATTCTCATCTTGGTTCTACAATAGATTATAGCATTGAAGACCCATATATTACTGTCATGTAATTGAATTACCACAAGAGGGTTCGTTAATACAATAGCAGGGTTAGTTAACCAGTAAAGAAAATTCGTTTTTTTTTTCAGACCTTTATGTACGATATGTAGACCCACATGCGAGAAGCGTAGTTGACAAACGAAGGATGGCAATAGCAAACCGAGCAGCAGCCCTTACCTGTGCATGCTCAGATAATGTAGATCTGCCCAGCTGTGCTCTTCGTAAATCGTTATGGGTATCCGTCGTACGATGTTCGTTGGGGAAACCCAAATGGGTCAGATTTTTAAACACTCAGCAAGACTATGCTGGACTAAATAAGCTTCGCGATCCTCATGGACTGTTTCTCTTGGGGTTCATTTTGAATTTAGCCCATTAAAGTTGTCTCGAAATCGAATACGTTCTTTATGAGGGAAGGATGGGGCAGGTAGTATAGACCGACTGGTGGTTTTTTCTGTCTCTCTATCTATAGATACGTACGTACGTACATATCACGTGAAAACTGAATACAAATGACGGAAGGTTTCAAAAGAAATCAAACGGAAATTTATAAAATGTAAACCAAGATTTTTATAGTGTCATGACAGATGATAACTATTTGCTATGCCAAAAGAAAATTGGCCTGCGAAAAATCTTCCTCCAACGAGATACAGTGAGTCCACAAAGAGTGCTATCGGATAGTTACTATGATAGAGCTTGTTTGAATGTAAAACATATATTGAATGGAGCATCAAAGATGTTTCTGCTAACTTTTTGAATCGTTCTATTAATAGATGTTTAGTATGTTCTTCAGATGCGACTTCATTCATACATGTTGCACCAATGTAATTTCAGTGAAACTTTCAATCCCTTAATAGTGTTAAGTTTAATTTTCTTAGAGTTTCCCTGCGACGAATGAAAAACATGGGGCTAATTTTGCCTCGAAAGTTGAGTAACCCTGCATTTTAACCGCTCTTTGATTTGCCAAATTTTTCGGCCGCTGTATTTCAGTTGACCTGATATCTAATTCTATTGCCCGCTCGCTCGAGGCTGTTCGCAGCCACAAAGCGGGAAAGACACTGAGACTTTTATACGATGCCAATTAATGGCAGAAGGTTCGCTCGTAACTTGCTAACCTTGTCTTCTATTGAAGCCTGGTACTGACCTGCAAAGTTCGTTTACCGGCCGCTCTACTTCAATTTATTGTTGCGAGTCCAGTGTGCAATGCTAGTAGTACTATTAGATATAATACTTTAGTCAGCTTAATTATAAAATATTGATGAGGTTAGCAATAAATTAGTTAAATGAAATAAACAAGGGGAACAACGAACGCACACAATTATCTTTTTATAGCGTGAACTAAAAGAAGGACACTATCGTCGATTTTTTATTTTCGATGCATTGTACTCAACAAAAGGTTATGTAGAGAGCCAGCCCGCATATGGGCTTAGTCGTAGAGCTAGCGCCAAGATATAGAACCGATGATAAAGCATATTTTTTCCCTAGACATTGAGCTAGAAGACTGTTGCAATCTGTGATATAATGTAAAAGCTACTTGAGGAATGCTTTTGACTGATCAATGGTTCTCTTGTATCTGTCTGTTACTTTCAATATACAGAAGATTCCTGAAAGTTCGGAACATGCCGATCTACTTCCGCTCACAGTAACGGGCATCGTGGTATGTTTATCGAGCATCTCACTGTTGTTTCTCACCGCATCCGCTTTCATCTTCGCCCACTTTTCGTAAGTAAACATTTTCTGCCTTCGCATAGACGTGAATAACTACCGACTTTATACAGGCTCTTTTTTTTCTAAAAACTCTCTTTAGAAATCGAAGGGTTATCGACGACATACCATGTCGAAAGCATAGCAAGTCCGATAATGTGCCCGCTAATCAACACAACAGGCCATGATACTAGTGCAACATATATTGTCAAGTTTACATATAGAAAATTTTAGGGTAAAGTCACGTAGTATATTATTATTATAGCTAGGCTAGCATTTTTACTTAGCTTACCTGGCTTGCAGGTTCGTTATAATCGAGGTCGTTACTATCAGTTTCAACATGTCATTTTTTGCATTATTACCACCATTATGTTAGTCTCGGTAAGCCCTATAGAGATGTAGGAGCCATCGGAAACGCGAAAGTCTGTCTCGTTCCTTGGCAGCCACGCTCGCCGACCTGAGCGTAAACATACAAGTGGCTCACACACGCGTATATGTCGACAAATACGCGGGACACGTAAGCACCATTACGGCCCGCGAAAAGGTGACGCCTAATATTGCTCTTACTGTACTCCCTACCTATTTCCGCTTTTGGCTAGCTGCTCGTTTGTTCCTCATTGTCTTATCTGCCCGATCCTGAATTCTCTGGGGGCGGTGATCTCAGGAAATTGCAACTGGGTAGATTCAAACTTCGTGCGGAAACGTCGATCAGAAATCATACACGCGACTGGCTTAGTTAGTCAGCCAGCCAGCTAGCTACGATGGTGTGCCAGGAACTTGCCAGGAAACCTAACGTCATGGCAAGCGGCGATGGGTGATAATAGCGCAAAGTTATAATCACTCTATAAGATCCTTTCGTTTATTTAACTCAACAAATTTAGCAATCAGACCTTGTTCAAGTATCGACTAAGCCCACCAATTAATCTTACTACAATGTAGATAGAAGACAAATGAGAGCGGTAGATCTGTCTTGGTACTGATTCAGTGTGCATAATACACCAAACAGGAATGATAAGATCTATGTTAACGTAGCTTCGTCAAAGCCTCATCAGATCTCTAATTGCCACAGCAAAAACGTTTAGAGTGATTAAAGATAACAATAAGAAGAAAAAAGATAAGAGAATAAAAAAACACAATGTTATTCATCTCAGTTACAGATGCGCAATTTAGTTTTATTCTAAAGTAGCATAGTACCTTTCTCAGGCGGTTTTCTAAATCAACGAATAACGTACAGCCTCCGTTGCCTATTGCAAAAATGCTCTCTGCGTTATTACTCCTGTTACTGAAAAGGTTTTGCTAATAATTTCAATTGTGACAATAGAAACGTTAGGTCATAGACTCCCGTTTGCTGCCGATAAGAACACGCAATTTTGTCATTACCGCTATTGTTATCTACATCATGCAAACAAACTTTAACAGCCAGTGTCTTCCGTCCACGTACAGGTAGAGGAGCTGGTATCGCACTTTCTACTGGGGTCACGCCCAGACTGCCAATAAACGTCAATTTTCGAGCAAACGCAGTTGTCCAGGGGCTGAGGAGTGGGGGTAGGAAAGCAGTCTTTCGAAAAGCTTGTCTTATTCTGTCTTGAAGGAAGGTCCGACTTTACAGGTAACGGGTGTTCTGCCTCCACCTCGTTGACAACCAGCCACCCCTATCTAGCCTAGCTAGAAATGCGTGCGAGCCTGGTGAAGGCACTATTAGCATCCCACAAACGACCTTATCGTTTCCGTAGAGCGTATCGACTGCGTCGTGTTCGTTGTACCCAGATAGGCCCAGTCAATTGAGCCAACCAGACAAAGCAGGGCATATGTTTATGAATAAACCACCATCCCTACCTATCATACCGGAAGTTTAGCAAACGGAATTTAAATGAGGCTATACAGTGCGCGATTCAATGTAATAGAGTCAACTATGCTTGCATGTTCACGAGTTACAGAAAAGAACTCGTCCTCTTCCGAAGGATCATTGAGTACAACATTCGCAGAGGCTTTTCGTGCTAATCGTAAGACGTCAGTCAGTCAGTCCTGTATAATCCTGCGATATTGGTTATTTCCAGGATTTCGGCGAGAAGTGGAGAGGCCTAAATGAGTGATCGAGCACAGTTATGAGAAAGTTCAGTGTAGAGCTACGAGCTAGATAAAGTTAACCTATGTACATTTCGTGGATATAGTTATCAAATTCATAATGCTTTACGCCGCTTTATTCTTGACAAGTGAGCGGGATACATTTATATTAACACTGTTATCGTTACTATTTTTGTTTATGGGTAGTATTTTGAAAGAGAACGTGATCTGAAGTGATGGACAAACATTTTTTACAAAAATTTATTCGACATAAGTGTGTTGTATGTAACGTACAGGGTTCGCAAATTAAATAAACACCTAATCCACCCTCATAGTTGGTTAAATTGAATGTACAGCTACATTGATATAAAATAGGCTTCTAACTAAAGCTTACGGTATGGCTTTAACAGTGCAACATATAATGGGTACCTTTTTTAGTGGTAGCTCTCACAAGCGTCAGAAGCAGACTTCGCTGTCCTGATTGCCGCCCGATGAGCTCTTTCCATTCCACCTGTCAAGAGCAATTGAACGAGTGATTAGCTCTCTTCCTATCAGGTTCATTGGCACTGTCTGATGCTTACCAATATTAGTGGCGCTTGAAGAGGTCTTCGTTTAGAGGTACTTTGAACGCGGTCGCGCACTTCAAATAATTGCCAGATGTGCTTACCATGGGGACCTATTCTATTTCCGAATATATGAAACCCAAGCTGAGAGTTTGTATTGTCGTTTGGTTTCGAGAATATCCATATGGCTGAAATACTGGTTGATTTGAGTGAGAAGCAGTCGTTATTTTCCTCTGCCAGGATGAAAATGACGAGTGTTAGTGCTGTTAACTATTGGCGTGCTTACCTATTAGAACAGTGTTTATTCCGTTATTTGTGCCGACAATCGTCATACTCAATAGCGCATCTTCAGAGATGCAGAACTGTAGCATAGCACCAGACGCTGTGACGAAATGTTGATGGTTCGTATTCAAGCAGCCACTGTAAAAGACTTAAGTAAAACTTGAGCCACTCAGAAATCTAAGATATTCTATAACGCAGAGTCCTGCGCACTATGTGGCTTGCTCCTTACGTTCAAGCAACAGTTCAGGACAAACATGTGCACTCACGCGTAACGAGTACCTTAAATATTCTAGCTATCTAAGATAGGCTAGTTTTTAGTTCTTCGCAATTTTGGGCAAACGGATTTCTACGAGTCTTCGCCAGATCGTCAAGTGAAGTTGAAGACGTTGCTATGATTAAGTTCTAGTAGCTGCTCGACTCATTAGTAGCGTTCTATATGAACTTCAAATTATCTTCGAGTGGTCTCAATATTAAGAACACAACATTTGAACTAAAAGACAGTTCATACAAAACAATACCAGGAGGATTTTGAAGCTGTCAAGTATCCGGCCAAATCAAATCTTATAGGGACATTTAAGGTTAGATAGCTTCTGACTGTCTATACTGTTATTTCCACACTGCATTCGGTTCTACGCTTAAGAAAACATTTTTAGAACATCCTCAATTAAAGAGACAATCGTCGACTTTAGACAGATAGCGGATCTGCTTGAGAGACGAAGAAAATAATCAACTGACATCTGATTATATATTCCACTGGTAACAGAAAAAAAGATTGTTATTCTCCTTTTTTTAAATTAAAAAAAAAAAAAGAAAAAATAAATTGTTCGAATAAACAAGCTAGTGTACAGTTGTTGCTTCAACCGTAAGCCTACTTTATGGCTGCTGTATTTTTTTGTTCTATTTTGTTTCATATTGCAAAAAAATAACTCTGACTTCCTGTAAGATCATCCAATCAGCTTTGCTTTTTCTTTTTAAAGACTTGCACGGATCTGCGCATGTAACTTTTCGTACCCTATGGGTATAACTTAAGTCATTTTGAAAAACAAAGACATAATATTTGAAAGTTTGACCCACTTTAGCTCAGTAGCCAAGCATATATTTGAGATAATTTTGCAGTACAAGGATTTTGAACTATCACAAAATGCATGAAGTTTAAGGTAAATAAGAATTTTGCGGCTTCGCAACAAATTACGAGAACAAAGCAAATGTAAGTGGCATATCCCATTTGGACTGGAAATCAACACAAGGGCTGTAGAAGTTTTGAAGCCCCGTTAACTTCTTTTGGCCAGGCGGCTAAATAGCGTTTAACTTATTGCTTAATTAGACCCATTTTAAATCCTGCCTATGTTTCCGTGGTAAGTCACTGGCAGCCCCTAATGAAATCTTAGCTTCCTCTACGGTAAGGTCGAATCGGATAACTTTTACTATTGGTAAAGTACGGACATCATGCGACATCCAATTGACGCGCGTTTTATCCTCTGCAGTCTTTTTCTAAAGGGCATACTTTGGCAGACGCTATTCGCAGCACCATCAACGTGTCTCATCATCATTCAAATAAAAAGATTTTCCGAAAAGTTTATACGCAACCTCACCGCTACACTCAGGGCTTGCCTTGTTGACTCGAGGAATTATATCCAAAAACCTACCTTAGACGTCTTGGATTGTACGGTCAAGATGTAGTTTAATGTAAAGGGTTGTTATACCCGGTGAGGGATGAATTAACATACCAAATAAGCGACGCACTCTAAAATGTATTCGGTAATGTCAATCTGCAACGAACACCATGTTCTTAATGTCCTGCTGAAGGCCTTTACTCAAGCTTACCTGCCAAGCGGTACGATTTTAGCTGAAGGGCGCAAAATTTAGTGAGACATGGTAATAAAAGGTAGGGACGATTCCTGAAGTTCTCTTCAATGGGCGCAGTCTCGTGAAGAAGGATTTTTGTCCTGAAGCTACTATCGTAGCTCTTAACAAGTTAACTGTGACAATGTACGAATTTCCTTCACACCTTATTCCCCCCCCCCCCCTCCCCTGAACAGACCGACTCCTTTCAAGGTCAGCGTAGCGCATCAGCGTATATTAGATCTGGAAGTAAATCTGAACAAGGTCAAGGCGTTGAATTTTTGCCCTAGTGAGTCACTGTTACTGCAGACTCACTACGAGTATGCGAAAGGACGTTAACTCGATCGCTTCCTTAGGGATGATACTCACTACTACCGGTAGATTTGTGGCTGCTCGTACCGGTAAAGCAGCTTTATGATTTTGACAGTGTAAGCAATGTAATATTGCAGGCGTACTTCTAAAGCAGAGCTTTCTACTAATTTCAAAATTAATTAACTAATTATTTCAAAAACTGAAATAATGATTCGACCTGCCAAAATCAGGCTCATACAGTCAGTTTTAAGTTTAAGAACGAAACAGGTCTAGTAGTATGATAAGCGGGACAGAAAGCAACGCTATCCGTAAAAAAAGTGTAGACAAAAGATTCGTTACGCGACTTACGAGATCTATTACGTTTTGTGCAAGACGCATGGCTACAAAAATCCGGAAGATGGCCGTCGCGAAGGGCCATGCGTCGGATATTAAGCGGCCTACTAATTTACTTATAGTGGTTGTTCTTGACGCCGGTCGTCCAGTTGCCGATTCTGAACTTTTCATGCAACTGAATCTTGTAGTATATATTCACTATGTCATATTATATATGTATCCGACCTAAGTTTCAGACAAGAAGTATAAATCGCGGATTATTGTCATTGAGAAAATAACTAGCGAAAGGACTTCAATTTGTATTAAAGTCCTCTGACTGTTTGCTCGAACTTGAATGCGGTTCATCATTACATATTGCTGAGTGTTATCTACGTTTGAAAATTAACTTTTCCCATTATTTCTCAGTATTTGATTTACCACAGACCACTACAGATACACTGTACAACTTGTATGGTTGACGTGAACAAACTATGGTTTTTGGGTACTAGCTGAAGGGTGTGTATTGGCAAACGTAATACCATCAAGGCAGCTCGACTATATCGTCTATTTGACTCCCGTTGCCAACGGATTCATGCGCATACTAAATTATTACGATGTCACCGAGGAAGTCCGTCAGTATTGGTACAGAGGTTGTGAACAAGAAATATAAAAAACTGCTACGGTTGAATACCCCCGGTCTGCCGCCACGATGGGGTAAATAGCTTAACATACATGACAAGTTAGTTGAGGCTAACGAAAACTGAGCTAATACTACAATCAAAGCAAAAAAATTTAATTAAAAAAAATGATATGGATATTTTCAAAGAGCTTTTCTGCTATGGCCACTACTTTGCAAATTTAAATTTCAACCTTACGATCTGGTCTTTAATGCTGACTAGAATAAAAAAGAAGCTTCTACACGAAAAATTTGCTATTACTTAAGTAAGGCCACTTATACAGCTGGAATAGGAATGGGGGCGATACTATTAACGTGGTATATGAACGTTGGGCTCGATTTTCTGCATTAAATTATCATTATTTTTTTTAACATATCTCTCAAAATCTGATGTAATACTTATATTTTTATTAGTTGTTGAGCTTGTATTATTTATGCGACGAAGAAGCGACCGATTCGTGCAGGGGTATGAATAAATGTCCATTTTATAGGCGATTTCGATGGTGAGTTAGGGGCAGTTTCCAGCAATTTTGTAACTTAATTAGACGCTCTGTGCTCGAGTTATGTTTCACAGCGTCATTGATTCAATTTAATCCCGAGACACCACAAACGAATTTCGAAACTACAAAGGGTATTGATTATAAGAGATTTTAACTATGATCCGTGCCTATGTAGCCATTATCTACTTAATTCTATAAGTGCGTTTATTGCTGCTGCTACTACTACTACTACTATATTAAAACAATAGTAGAAGATTTTCAATCTTCGAGCAAAAATGCTAACTCTTTCTAAAAATCCTGGAAGGTAAAGGTGGCATAAGCTTCTCCAGTTATACCATTCATTGGACATCAACAATGAGCGATATTTGCATTTCCAAAGCTTTACAAGAAAACGTTAGGCCAAGTGTTTTTCATATGAACGTAAAAAGTTAAAAACAGAAAGCTCGATTTTAGACCGGAGCAATATTTATTTGTCCACAAAAAAGTAGCATTAATAAACATTCGTTGTCGTCGTTTTCAGATTGATTTACTTTAACACTAGGAAAGGTATATTAAGCAAATAATTTCGTACTGTTACCCTAATTTTAGTTCCTATATTGACTTCATATTATGGCATTGTTGTGATTTTCAGAGGCCTGGAGTGCTCTCGCACCCGTGTCCATCAACAATTTGTTGTGGCGCTAATCCTTAACGCGTTAAGCCTTCTGGCCATCTCCGTGCCAGTCACCTTGCATAATCTGCAGCCTGATATACCCAACATTACAAAGGAAACGGTACGACACAAATGGTCGTTGTTGCGCGTTATTTTGTTGTAGATAGATTGAAAAACAGTAACATTCAGAAAATCCATTCAAAAAGAATAGCCAAAAAAAAAAAAAAAATTAGCGTTGCTCTACACACAACTTCATGCCACCCTAGCTGATTTAGCGAGACAAGCTGACTAACGCTCTATAGAGAAGAAATAACAATTGAGAGATTTATTAATGGGCTCGGCATAATATTGACATGATGATTCTGATATAACAATCGTGCAAGCACGAGCTCTACGAACAAACCTGTCTCGAGTTTGTTGAAGGCCCACCCCTCTAGCTAACTTCAACGATAGTAACGATTAGTGAGAATGTACTAGCACGATCTTCTCCACAACTCTCCAGCATTACGTAGACATAAACGGACGCATATTCAATGCAGGTGTTTGGGTGTTTAGAGGTAACGAGGATTTTGGCGACACTCCTTACGGTGGAAACTGCAATCGCTGGAAAGCAGTACCAACTCAATAGGAGAACTTGTTTTCGGTTTTAGATTCCCGTCTCTTCGAGCTCGCCGACTTCATTCGTATATCGCACCAGTCACCTCGGCGCTATTTACATGATGGCAGTTAAACTCTGGCTGCTGCCTCCTCATGCGTCGCGCCACGTTTACCATCAGGCAAATCCGTAGTAGGCAAGGCCTTAATATACACTTGAACTCGCGTCGCTGCGATTGTTTGATTAGCGGTGTGTCATTGTCCTGGTGGGCGATATTGAACGCGTATTCATAAAAACCATGGACTTACACATCTATATGATTATTATTCAAGTACGCAGCTGTTCACATCAGTGAAGGCATCAGGCTCCACCCAGAATTGCCGTTAAGCAGCTGGTTAACAACCTCTACTAGAAATCTCGGCGACATTTGTCCGCCCTACCACTTTCTGCTTGAGTTGTGTTTTCGAAAAATTACAATTGGCCTGTCATGTGAAGTTTTTACAGCATTCGAAGCAAGAGCTGTATCATGCTGTTCGCTTTACCCTCTCATAGACCCCCTCAAAGTATCGTAGCGTATTGCGTATGTATTTTTAACACCCAATATAGTAAGTGATACGTTTCATGGAGGATAAATTCGGCAACAATAAAAATAACTTCACTGTCACAACAAAAAACATAAAACCTCGTCGCCAATAAAGTGCGGCGCCCGAATGACTTTGGTTATATACGCGACAGTATCAAAGAAGGACTTAAAACAAGGTTTTCCTTATGGATTTCCAGATTCTGCTAAGGAAATACAAGAACCTTTCAGATATATATATATATATATATATATATGAAGTTGTCGTGTTGGCTAGGTGATGCACTGGCATTAACATTTCATTGTTATCGTGCAACTTTACTACCGCCTTGGTTGGGAATTGCCGCAATTTTATCCTATGAGAACTATAACAAAAAAACGTATAGTTTCAGATACACTTCTTTGATGCTGTAGAATAGAAATCCATTCGCACAAGATTTTTACGACATACCCGAATTTGTGCATCTTCTCGGCAAACTACTTTTGTTCCTAAGGCTGTTCCATGACCACAGACAGATACAATCTGAAGTTTGTGCGCCTTTGAACTAGGACGGAGATGTGGGACCCTGTGAAATATCTTAGAAAAATCAGTCTAAATACCAGCGATATTTCAATGTATTGATATCTTTTGAGTGTTACTTTCAGCGTCATACAATGTTTGTATCGACCTCGCATTGTTTTATACACGGTCAAATAATTTTCTACTGTATGTAATTGTATTCAACTTCACTAGTCTACCCATCGGCGTCAGCGTCAATACGAGGTTATAATAAGTACTTCGGAGAGCTGTGTGTATCATTGAGTGTTCCTCTGAGCGGAAAATTTTTTTGTCGTGTGGATATCTTATTGCCACGCATTAGGCCAAAAGTCTGAAAGCAGGATGGAAGCAGGGCGTTTGCTACTAATATTAATCGAAAATTACGCTAGCTAAGTGCACAACAAAAGCTGAATAGCCAATATTGTAGGCCAAAAAAGAGTTTTATCAAAGATCGTCTGGGAAAATTTCAGAGAAAGTCGAATGAATACTCGCTGGGTATTTATTTGCACACAGATTTTACCTGACGGCCATGAGTCATTCACAGGCGCGTCACAAAAAAGGGAAGGCTTGAAAAGTGAATTTAATAAAAGACATAAAATGTGTGGCCTTACCGCTTCCGAAAGATTGGATTGGTATCTCCTCTAAGTAGATTTTGCCGTTACCCTGTTTCACTTATTAAAGGTAGTGGCCATTAGGTTCGTAGAGCTTGGTCTATAACCGTGCCCAGCCAGCCTACAATTGATAGGTAGATTTTTATAAAACAACTGCATGCTACATACGTTCGTATTTCGCTACATGCAATAGTAGCAATGTACCGGGTTCATAAGGTAGGATAGTGTTAATAGTTATAGGCAAGGCAGCGTAAGACGATTGTTCAGTGAAGATAATTTTCGCGTAGATATTGTGTACTGGTCAACCAGCTACGCAAATAATGTAACCTCGATTAAGGGTTAAACAGTGTGATCTTCGGAGAAGGTTCCATCCAAACGCTTTGTCATTACGAGCATTAGAAAACACTTTAATATATAAAGGTAGTTAAAATTATGTCAATGAAGAAGTGATTCCTTATCGTATAACCGTATCTCTGTGCGTATTTTTGCGTGTTACTGTATTTTGTTTTTTTTTTTTTTTTTTTACCTATTGTAACATTGGAATTACAGCCTCTATTATGCAAGTTGGTTCTGTGCGTAAAGATGTACTCTTCGAACGCATCGATCAACTGGATGTTCGTCGAGGGACTTCTGCTACACTCAAGAGTCACTACACAAATATTCAAACAGGATGCGCCATTCCGCTTGTACTATGCAATAGGATGGGGTAAGGATACCGGATATTTATTTCACCCTATCATCAAAGCCAATTGGAGCGATCAAATAAACACTGAAGTATTACCGCGACGACATTAAGGAAAAATATTTATGTTGTTATATCTATTTTTTCCCAGCAATTCATTTGCAAGATATGACGTAAGCTCGCCGTGACGCAAATGCATCGTGCCGAAAAAGATTTGTTCTAGGGCAGCATCGTATAGATAGTAATCATCATTGTAGTAGCTATGCTGTCACCGTATGATAGGGCAGTGGTAATTTTTTTGCCTAGAAAACTTGAGGGATGGTAGAAGTAGGAAATCCAGCTTACACCCTGCTTCATGTTCCATACCATAGGTATTCAAAGGATAAGATCCTCTGCTGCCGGACAAGTAATTTTGCATCTTATCGCCTTGGAGATGATAAATTTTTCGCATTTTCGGTTACCGTGGAAGTGGTAATTTACTAACGTACAGACTTCTGAATAGAACACGATATGTGATTAACCTTAGTAAACATTTTTATATTTGTATTCTTATCATATGTATATATCATGGCACTAAACGAGAATTTTGTCTGGCATCTATCTGTCGCGAAAATTCAGCATATGAGTTAGGTAATCTGTGAGGCTGAAGTACTTATCCACAAAGGTTTCTTGCATTCGTTCCATATACGCTTTTATGATTATTCCTGATAAGGCATGTTTTTTTTATATCTCGCGATTCTTAATACATAAAGGCTACGGGCTAACACAGATTGTGATGGACTGTCCGAGGTTCTAAATCGCTAAAGCTATTTAGCATGTAGGGGAAAAATGATATGACTGTGACACATCGATAAATGTCTAAACGTATTTTTGCTATTTTCTCACTGTTATCATTTGTTAATGTTTCCAAAGCAGATCATTGCCTTACTTTTTTTGGTAACCCCTTTGGTAAACACCTTTTTTTGGTGACCCATACGAGATCAAGAAACTAACCGTCAGCGCTACACAGCGGTACTGACCTGGCCCTAATATCTTTTCGAATATAATATGTACTAAACATCTGTTCTGTGGTGTTTTTCGAAGACTAAAATCAGCTAACGGCAATAATGAAATAATTGATTCTGACCAAACGGGGATTAAAGGTCCGAATAAAATGCAGACAAAAAGACGACGAGGATCATATTCATATTGAGCGGTCGGTGAATGAACATTGGGTCGTAGATGGGGCAAATGGCGAAGGAAACTCCGATCTAGACAATTCAGTTTAACCCTAACCACGAAAAGAGGAAGTTGAACGCTTATTTCTTACTAGAAAACTTGAAAAGCCGATCGTGCGTAATGTCTCTAATCAGACTACAGTCACGCACCAGTTTTTACAAAGCAGATAAATGGCCGTAACACAAATGCTTTTTTCAGTGCTGAACAAACTGATTTGAAATGAATCCGGATTTGTATTTCCTGATGAGAAGGTTGCAGACTATTTCGGCGATTTCTAGTATTGCATATGGAAGGGGTAACAGGACTTTTATGACAACTAGAAGAAGCCTTTACTAAACAGAAGGATAAATTCACTGAAAAATTATAAATTCTTTTCTTGTATCATAAGTCAAGTAGAAGTTCACAACGATAATCAGGTGAAGAATTATTGTCTCAGGTCATTGCGTGTAGGCTACGATAGGGCCTTAGATACGGTAGATTTGTCCCCGTGATAGCTTAGTGGGTAACGTATTTGCCTGCTGATCTTTAAGGCCACGGTATAGTCGAGGCTTGAACATAGCTCGTTTTGTACCGGAAGCCAGCCGTCGGATGCTTAGCGGCGTTAACAGACGTAAAACTTGAAACATAGGTAGCAAACATTATAAAAACCGTCCTGTCCTCAGCCGCACTGTCCTAATATTACAATAGATTTGCGACTTTTTAGTTTTACAAATTATCTTCAACCTTGTACACTAAATTAATATAAAATTGCAGACGAAACAAAAATATATTTCGAAGAACTGATCTATTTATATTATAGCAACTATTACATAATGCCGAATAAATACAACCCTCTGCAATAAGCTTTCAATCCTTAAATAGGCCTTAAATCCTTTAGATTTAGAGAGACAACCAGATTTATTGCGTTAACCACCTCATAGCATATAAGTAACGTAGCGAAAATTAATCAAAGTTTATAGAGTCCCCCATAGGTGCCGTCTACCTACCTTAGAGGCTTGTTTTAAGGATAAAGAGATTTTGCGTTATCAGACCTTCGATTCAGGTGTCGCTAGCACTCGCTTGCAGATATCCACCTATACTCTCCCGGCCAAATCAGATTTCAGTAAATTGAAAAAGGAAAGAAGGCGGTTCTTTCTTGTTAATCAACCCGTAACAAGAACTGATAAAGGAGCGGTTACAGCAAAACTTTAATCGAATGTAACAAATATCTAGGGTATTATTTGATTTCGGATGATATGTTTTCTATAAAGACTGGTTATGGATTGTCTATCTGAAGAGAACAATTCAATAGAGAGAGTCTGGCTATAACAAAGAAACAATGGCTTGTTTTTGACATCATCAGTCTCCCTTTACTAAGCTAAGGGTAACAGGTGGTCGTATGCACAAAATGAAATCCCACAAATAAACAGGCCGTGGGTAGTAGGGAAGATCAAGCCCAGATTGATTACGTTCAGCTCAGCTAGCCTGAAATTCACAGAGGTGACGCCAACAAACAGAGTACGCCACACATTTGTCTAAGGTCAATCGTTCAAAAGTAAATACTTTAATATGTGTTGTGCGTAGACGATCACTATTTAGCTTGAAATATCTTTATCGGAACGCCGCTACAATCATGTGACAACTTTTGACAACTGTATGGGATTTTTGTTCCATTAGTTTCATCTGAATATGGAACGTGCTGGTGAAAGCATCTTTCATTAGGTAAATATAGGGTAACTTCTTTAAAATGCATAAGCCCTAGCTACGAAAACAAGAAACTGAGTGTTTATTTCTCATTAAGCAAACACAGTGACCCGTTTGATATTCGCGCTGTGATATATTCGAGTTCAAACGTATCGCGATATATCAGACACACAGTCGGAGCTTCTTAGTTTGGACTTAAGTTTACGATCCTCTGACAAGAAGTTCTACTTCCTAAAAAGCCGACCGCATGCCAATACACACTTCTCCGAGTGCCAGTAGTCAAACCAATGACGCGCTTATTAAAAGCTTGATGCACTCCTCAACGTACGAACGAATGCGACAGCCTTCGATTGATACGCCCTGTCCATCTCAACGAAAGGGGAAGGATTCTATCTGCAAGCCCCATTATGCACTGAAAATCGTTTGGGTCGCGACGTCTCTTCTCGAGATAACAAAAAACACTATTTGTTAATAACCCCCTTTTTTCAAACACAACTCCGGAACGACAGGCCAGATTAAAATCAAAGCTAATCGTTAGCTAGTACTTCAGTGTAGGTACATACAAATTACGTCCACAAATCGAAGTAAGCCAACAATATCGGCACCGATTATTTCATAATTCCAGTACTACAACCAATTTGTACTGATTAAGTACATATGTAATTTCCCCAATCAAGTTAAGCCGATACATTCTTAAAACTAAAAACGACCTGTATATGTTTCTTCGTTTAAGTTATTGTTTATTTTTATAAGGCGCAGATGCCATTGAGAGAGATGTAAAAAGTTGCATTTAAGCTGGATAGCTATTTTCGTTTTTTAACGCATTTTTATGTCCCGTAAAGTCGAACTGTTTTTAATTTTTTTGAGATTTTTCATACTTGACCACCAGCTTATACGTTGCCTCTGGCTTGCCCGAATTACGCAATTTATCTTTGAAGCTGCATAAGCATTGAGCCTCAATGAGAATTTACTGATATTTTGGCCCTGAATGCTGTTGTCGCCACTTTTATAGATAGATCTGTAAAATGTCTATATTGAAACTGACATGTTTCACACGCCCATTTGCATTATTCCATGTCTTCATTTCGTAAAGTTTGGCACATTGTAACTTTACAAACACTATATGGCTTTTATTATATAACTGCAATGAATGAGGCATATAAAAGGCTTAATGTTTCCATGAAGCCATATGTTTGATCATACGTTGTTACTTTGATCACTGGATACCAATAGCGATTTGTAGTAGATTGCGTCTGTCATCAAATAAAAACAAAGTACGTATATTTTCCAATACATGACTCAATAGCCTTCTCGGCACCGAATTTCGGCGTTGGCTTTTTGCCCATGGGAAAAGCCCGATCGAACATCTCTTGCATTTGTCTCGCTATTGTATTAGGGGTTTACAACTGAAATCCTTTTAACAAAATACACTCACGCTGCTCCACCCTTTATTGCTAGAAAGTAATAGATAGGCCATACAACATCACGCCATGCTAATCCTGTCAGTACGCTTTGCGATTCAGGCCTTCTAGCTGTAGTTGGTCAATCGGTTTCAGCTATTCGAAGTAGGCTTCAGTAAAAACTTCTCATTGAGACACCCATATCTATTTCTGTAATATGCAGCAAAGCCGACAGCTATTTATTGCCGCTTTCACAGTCGCTAGTTTAACAAAGAAAGTAGTTCGTCCAAGTAGCATAATATAAATCTCTTTGGAAACGGGTAAACAACGGATCGTGCCATAGTACTATCATGCATGAACTCGAAACGTAGTGAGCGTAACTGCCGCCTCTGTAAGTTACACCCATTCGACCACTGTCACGTTCCTTTTTAAAAGTTGCCTCTAACTGGGGGGCGACGGTTCACGCAATGTCTCGGATGCCTAATCCTTCGCTTAGGGAAGGCCGTGAGTCGCCGTTTGAGGTGTCACCAACGACTCCGACTTTATGTGCCCATGAGGAACGCTATTGATAGGAACTAGGAGAAACAGCGAAGCGGATCTGATTGACATACTTCTGTCCGCAGACGGATTGGCCAATCATATTAATGGTGGACATCTTGGTGCCATGCCCCATCGGGCACTGAGTTCAAAGTTCTTACCTTTAGAGGCCTGTAATATGCCCTA